ATAAAAGTTTTAATAACTAGTAACTATCTCTATTAACAATTTATAAGAAATTTAAACTCAAAACTTCTTAAATATTAATATTTAAGAGTCTTTATCAAATCATTTATTGATCAAATAATAGTTATACAAATTTCTTTCTAATTGCTATATTTGTAATTACGTTTTTTCTTAAATTACCAGTCTAGTTTAGTTTGGATGGGAAGGTGAGAGCGAGGGTGATGGAACACAGAAGGGACCTTATCACATCATATCACCACTTTATTCTACTGGACCAAAGTTAATAATATGCTTGTAAAGCTGTCGTCGTCATCATATCATATCATGTCGTCTCCACCCTCGATACAAGATCATGCATTAATTGTTTTTATTATCAAATTTTGCAAACCGTATGGTCGTTGCCTTGCCTCTCTCTTCCCATCTCAATTCTATATAAGGCTCGCTCATTTACACTTTCTTTTTCATTATGAGTAAGATGTTATCATACATACTCTCTAGCAACCTTACATGTAGGTTTAGAAAGTATGGTGCAGCCAAGGATGACTTGCCGATCGACTCTTTGTATTCAAAAACATAAATAAATAGCTAAAGCTTCTGTGAATTAAATGTATAAATTGGCAAGTGGTCTTTGGCTACATGTTTCTTTCTGCTCCTCATGTTAGGCTTTTGGAGATAAGTTACAAGCTCTTCTGAAGGATATCACGACCAGAAAAAATTGTTCTCCTTCACAGACAGACCCTTCTTGACAGACTACGTTTCCTCTGGTTCACCATCGACCATAAAGTTCGAAGACTGCTAGCTAGCTGCATGCTCTTCAGCTAGCGTATATTTCAATATCATGGTAACGAGACATCAATCATTGATTAAACTTTTTGCTCACAGATTAATTATCTATCAAGTTTTGATGTGTTTAATACTCTCTCTTTGACTCTTTCTGCTAAAATTTGTTGCAGTGAAGATAGCTAGCAGCCAGGTAGGATTGTGTAAAATTTGTCTTTTCTGTGTATCTTTAGGAAAAAAAATTTATGCACACACTTGTGTGGAAATGTTAAACTCATCTGGTAGCTTAAAGTTCTCTCCAAATGACAGAAGTCTACAATGAAATTCACTTTTAACGATGCATCACGTGCTCCACCGCTAGTTTCTTCTCCAGCTTTCCGTAATAACCTAGAACTTGTTATATGTATATAGATGGATACATGTGATCACATTATGATAAAGACTACATATTCAAAGAGATCAGCCTGGAAATAATATATTCTTGTTATGAGTTTTTATTAATTTGAAGCTTATTAATTAACGTGCTCCTGCTATTGTTTTTTTTTTAATCTTCTTTCTTCTTTGGTGACTGTAACTATTTGTTTATATGCATTGTTACATATACATATATTTTCCCTTGTTAAAGCATGAAGACATTTCCTTCTCTCCTATGCTTGAAAGGGAATCTTCAAAGAAATGTTAACTTTGAGTGACTGGTCGGTTGGTTCTATTAATTTCCAACGACATTGGTTAGCTATTGAAGACATTTGTCTCTAAAAATTAGGAAGGGCTGGCTGTAGCAGTCAAACCTTTTGATAGCTCTTCAATTGACAAGTCGTTTGGATGTGAAAGTCATGATATTCGTAAACTGACAAACCTTTAACTTCATGTCGTCTACTCAATGAAAGTATGAATCCATCTCCTTCAAGGTCCCAAAGAGCAATTTGCATTCATTTTGAGTAACTATGAATGACGGGGTATTATTCTACCAACAAAATTATAAGCAATAAGTCTTTTACTTTATAATTAAAAATGATTTTGGGATTGCAATTTCTTAAGAAGCACTTTTGCTCAGTAATACTTTATCTAAAAAGATATTAATATAAAAGTACTCTCAAATACCTTTTAAATTATAAACAATAAATCAATCATTTTTAATTACAAAAAACTGAACCTTCATTTCCGCATACTGAGTCCTTAAAATTGATTGAGTTAACCTTGAGGGATTGGTCGGGTGGTCGAATGGTTTACTCTCTTTATTGATTTTTTTGGGTTTAAATCACTTTAGGGTCATTGACTATATTTATGGTTTTACTTAAGGTGTTCAATAGATTTCGCAGATTAGTTGAGGTACGCTTAAACTGGATGAAAAAAAAAATAAAAAAAAATTAATTGAGGTATGAAGTGTTTCAACTATAATGATAAACAAAACTTACATTATCTTGTTAACACTCACTCAACAAGACCCAACAAAAAATCAACTGGGCTTGTATCAAAAGAATGTAGTTTGGGCTTGTTGGGTCTGAAATTTTAGCCCAGCCTAATCCACCATCCAGGCTCTAAGTTTGACCCGAGTCTGATTCTGTCTCGGTTCGATCCAGAGCACTTGTTCCAATCTATTAGCTCTCGATTTTTTTGATCTGCTACTGGAAAAAAGAAATTGTGAAAGAAGTATAATAGATGAACTGATCTGGGTACTTTCAGTGTAATGAAAAGCAGGTAGTAGATGTGCTAACCAAAAATAAATGAGTCTTGAGCTTTTATTTGGCATGTATTCATAGACCAAAATTTTCCCTTCTCCACGAATGCAGTAACAAGAAATATCTATCAATCAAAAGATATAGTTCAAGAAATATCAACAATTAATCCCCATGAAAATTCTAATTCATGTTAGCCAACAGTGTGAAATTGCTTACTGATGTATAAAGATTTACATCTCATATATATGCTTCTATTCCCTTCCAGAAATGGCATTCTGTCTTCATTTTTTTCTTCTCTTTTTTTTCTCGGGGGAAAATTTCCAGTGACTTTCTTTTGTTTTTAATTGGCTTTATTTCAGGTTGTGATTCAAAATTTTCAAATCGAAGTCCTCTTCAAAATTGTATGTCTTCCAATAAAGATATGACTGTAGAATGTACTACTGCCTATACCTAATAAAAGGACTCGCTGGATAGGTGCAGAATTATCATGTATATCACCTTGGTTGAGTGTGTCTATTGTTGCAGCAACATGAAAATGATAAAAGTATTTGGTGAATACTGTTGTTTTAGTTAGCCATTGATAATTAATCTGATAAGAAAAGATGGGTGAATTCCAAATTAAAAAGAGTTGTTTGATTTATGTATCATCTTTCTATCTTAGACTTCTCATTTGTCTTTCAATTTCTTTCTTTCATCTTGTTGGGGAGAGAGTTGTAGATTTAACTCACGTTAGAGTGTGGTTACCCATTTTAAGTGCAGCGGAATAATTATCAAGTAGATTAAACATTTCCAATTTAAACACATCAAACATAAGTGTGGAAAATAAAGAAAAAGCCATATACATGGTTCCGCTAAATCTACTTTTAGCCTACATCCATGGGACTTTGTCCAGATTGAAGCAATCCACTAAGTTAAAAACACATTACAAGATATAGTTCAAAGTTGATCTAAGTTACAGTAAAAAGAACTCTCTATTCAACTTTACATTTAGCACCACACTTTGAATCCTCAACGTATAGCAATTACTTAGACCTTTTTCACGCCGGGAACACACCCGTTAGCAGCTTGTGAACCACCAAGCTTCAAGCACCGTTGCCACACTCCAACATCAGCAAAGGAACCACGTTCCGAGAGCCATCGAGACAGTGTTTGATATGGTGAAGTTTTGGCATAAATATGGAAATGAACCTTAAACCTTAAGAGAAAGAAAATACTCTAAGAAATTTAGAGTACAATAAAACAAAATATCCAAAATATTAGATTCATGCATACTAGAAAGGGTATTTTATAATGAAAATTTTCTTGCTCAACATTATAGTGCTAAGTCAACCAACAAGGACTGATGCATGTTTGTCCAATTAAGGAAAATATTCATTCTTTTGGTTTGGACCACAAAACAAATTGGGAAGAAAACTTTATTCCCTAAGACCACTTAAGAATGTTATGACACACGTAAAAAGGTCATAAAAAGTGAGAGATAGAGATAAACAATATTTTTTTTACTTTATCAGATACGTAACTCGTGCTGGGTTACAACTATCTAAAACGAGAGAGAGAGCACAAATTGTTGTGCACACACTCTCTAAACGAAATAAGTCAAGACTTAAGTTTGGCAACCAGTGTGCACACAGAACATATGTCCACACATACAATTCATAAGTTTGACAAATATGAGTTTTCCGTACATCTTTTACCCATTAACGGATTTGACTTGACAAAGAAATTCTAAGTTTAGGAAGCGAAGTGGTACATGACAACACTGAACGAGATAATACTCTTACATTGAACAGCAAGGTTAATGAAAGCAGAGTAGCCTTTATGCGTGGCATTTCTTCCTCTCATCCTCTGTTTTTAACTTTGATTCACCAGTTCTAGAAATAATCTTTTAAGTCTAGGTTGAGCTTCTCTGCGTGTAATGAGATGACATGGTTAGTCAAATACTACATTATTGTTGAGCAGATGCAGTAATTATACATCAATATTTGGATTCACATCCAAAATGTTTACTTATTTTGCATACAACATTACTCTTTCTAAAAAAAGGGTCGATCGGAACAGTGTTTTCATTAGATTGTATCGAAGAAGTATTAAATATGTGAGTATTTATTATCCCGGAAATTCCAATAAATTCAGAACTACATAAGAATGAGATCCACCATCAAATCTTTCATTATTCTAAGTACGAAAGCTTCACAGAGTCCAGTAAATCCCACACTTTAACTTGAAATACACAGAAACAATGGCAAGAAAGGAAGAATAAAAGAGAGCTTTTATTACTACAATTCACCTTACTCAGTAAAATACAAAGAAAAAAGATCCAATTTAAACTAGTGGGAAGAGATACTAGTTGTGTGAAGAGTGCAGCTACAGCTTAATTCCAAGTAGGACTGTGATATGTGTCATAGCTACCTCATAAGTGGCTGTGTCATCACCAAGTGGAGCTGACTTCTCTGGACACATTAGCAGAACGGTAAAGTCAGTTATCATACAAAAGGAATTCCAATCTTACTCTCGTGTCCTGGAAAAAAAATTGTCCCTTTGCCTTTATCGTGGATCCATTACTGATATGGTTAAGTTATTGTCTGTATTCTCTGCCCTGTTTATTCCACTCGCATTGTCCACAACAATCTTTCTTTCAATGGAAAATGCAGGCTGTTTTGGCACTGGCAATTTTACACCTTCACTTGTTGACATAGAAATAACAACTGACATGATAGGTCTGTCCATTGGATTGTGTTCAACACAAAGCAAGGCCAAGTTTATACATCTCAAAACTTGGTCCTCACAGTATGAATCACGTAGTGTTGGATTCATTAGTCCTGTGGCCACACCTTCCTTCCACAACTGCCATGCCTGTGTCAAAACAATTAAATAATTATTAAACATTGAGATAAACATATATGTTGGGTTTACACATAATAACACATAATATTAGTACTGCATTATGAACTTACATATGCAATCAGGTTAAGAGGCTGACCATCATAAAAGATAATGTTGTTGCAACTCCTACCACTTATGATCTCCAAAACTAGAACTCCGAAACTGAATACATCAGATTTCTCAGAAAAGATGCCATCTATAGCGTATTCAGGAGCCATATAACCACTTAATTTCATTTATAAAGTACAATCAGTTATTTGTAAAAAAAAAATAAAAAAAAAATAAATGAATAATCAAGTTTGTTGGAGTAGCAAATTTTAATTTCCACACAAATTCAAAGAGAGATTCTTAAATTTATGTTTACTCACCGTGTGCCTACAATTCTATTCGTATTTGCTTCAGATTGACTTTTGGTAAACACTTTTGCCATACCAAAGTCTGATATCTTGGGATTCATATCTTTATCTAGTAATATATTGCTGGCTTTCAAGTCTCTATGAATTATTCTCAATCTTGAATACTTGTGTAGATAAAGTAGTCCGTGAGCTATTTCTTCAATGATGTTAAAACATTTGTTCCAATCAAACAAATTCCTTTTAGATTCATCTGTTATAATGAAAAAAGAAAGGTTTGAGGAATGTGTAACATAATAATCAAGTAGAAGTTTCAATAATGTGAAGAAACCAAGCATAGATAGTTAAAGAAATATGCATATTTACCAAAAATATATGTGTCCAAGCTTTTATTTAGCATGTATTCGTAGACCAATATTTTCTCTTGCCCTTGAATGCAGAAACCCAAGAGCCGCACCAGATTGGTGTGTTGTAATTTAGCTGCTATTATAAGCTCATTCTTGAATTCCACTAGTCCTTGTTTGGATTTTCCTGATAGCCTCTTTATTGCTACCTCTTGCCCGTCAGGCAACAAACCCTGTACAATAATAAATAGTCATTGCTTGATATGTTAGACATAAGCCTTTTGTGAAAGCAAATATACCTTGTAAACAGGTCCAAAACCACCCTCTCCAAGTTTAGTTTCAGATGAGAAATTATCTGTAGCTAGCATAATGGATGACACTTTATATACTTTCAAATTGACGCCTTTCTTTCCATCGATCTCAAGCTCCTTTGCTTCACTCATTAAATCAAACATAAACTTTGCTGTTTGGAAATTGAAAAGAAAAAGTTTGATCAGCTTGGCATTCAATAAAATATTTAATCATATTTATTTGCTCTTCATTCCATATATATATGGTTAATTTGTTGTATATATTACCTTCTAGTTGAAATGTTCTCCGTCTAATGAAGAAAAAGATACCCAAGACGAGTATAAGGGTTAATCCAACCACTATAACAGGTGAAATCCCCATCCATTTCAATAACTCAGGAGCTGCAGCATCCAATGGTGAAATCATTTACACATATAAAAATATTGTCTTCATCTGCTTCTTTGACCATTTTTTTTTTCCAATTAAGTTTGTACGTAGTAAGATACTGAAATTATAATTATAATATTTTTTCATTGAGTTCTCATCAAACGAAATTATTTTACCTAGGCGTTTAATTCTATCTACAATAATTTACTATTTTAGAAAATTTTATCTTATCAGAGGGTTTTTTATACTTCATAATTAGTTTTTAAGAATTTTAAGGAGGTTTAATAATCTCAAGAGGATTTACAGTACCAAATTATATGTGAAATTGAATAATATATAATTTATAATAATAGTCTTTATTCCTAGGAACTACTAAATAAACCTAGCTTGGAGCTAGTAATAGTCAAAACACAATACACTCAATCTAAAATGAATACAAGGGAGAGTTAATCCATTTATAAGCGGATGAGTACTGGAATTGAGGAATTCATGAGGAAATAACCCTCCATTTCAACAGACGAATATCCTTTTTACAAAATAAAAATAAATATAATTAATAATAATAATTCTCACAAAAAAATTCTGTTTGAAATATTAATAATAGTCCATGCTAAACTGAAGACATAGTATTTTGACTAAAAACACTAAACAAGAGGTAGAGTCTGACGAATAAAACTCAACAAACAAACAAAATCCTTACTGAGGACTTGTTAATTTGATTTTAGGTTGTTGTTTTTCAAGTGAACACACAGTAGAAGATATACTTTTTGTTAATATTTTATTGCTTATTTTATTTTAGGAAACCAAGCAGTTGCGGTGGCGGAGCAAAGAAATTTCACCGGTGGGCCTAAAGCGAAGGTAAAAAACCAATAAAAGCGTTCCACTTCTACAGCTGTGTATACTATTCAATATTCAAATGCAAATCGTCAAACCTGTCAGCTTTTTCTTGTCCGGAATTGAAGGAAGCGAAGAGAGATCAAGAGCTCCAGCTTGTCCATTGATTTTAAAACTCCAGCCTAAAATATAATGAAAACTAATACGAGTACCTGTTGCAGAAGAGAAGCCAATATACATGAACTTATTGAAGATTGGTGAAAGATCTAGGTGAACAGACAAGAGGGGCAATCTTGGTTTGAAAGAATGTGGAGAGATGGTGACATTTAACAAATTTTCAGATGCATCGTAATCGATCCAAGCCAGGATTGGTTTTCCACTGTCGAGACTCAAGTTTTGTTTGGTTGAATTGTTATCGAAGTAGGCTGCAGCTGAAGACTTATCAGAGATCAAGCTATTGATGTCGATGCCAACGTGGTTGCCGTCGATGTCGTAAAACTCAGGACTCTCAACTGTATCAAACTCAACAGCAAATAAATGATTTGAAGCTTTTCCGTTATTGGTTAGATTAAAGAGGCCTAGATAAGCACCAGCTACAGTATCTTTGAGCTCTTTAGATGGTGAGATGGTGAAGGCCATGCCGTGGCCACCATCATTTGGATAGGAAGGGACGATACCTAGAGCAAATGATGAAGAGAAAGAAAAGACTTCTCCATTTGTCGAGTTCTTGAATTGGATTGGCAAGCTATAGAAGGCTTGGCCTAGTAAACGTTCACTGTCGTTTGTTAAGCAAAGAACGCCATCTTTCTCAAATTTTGCAGCTCCACTTAAGGTTAGGTTGGCGCTGAAATATTTGAATCCTGGAAAATAGAGTTCATTGTCATTGAGTTGGGATGATACTGGAATGGAGAGAAAGAGGAAAGCAGAGAAGAACATGAGAAAATTTCTGGCCATGATAAGGACAAAAAGGGAAAGAACTGTGGACGCTTGAATAAAAAACAACTTGATAAGATTTTGAAGAGGTTAAGAGGTTTGGGGTTATTATTTATCATGAGGGACGGAGGTAGAAAATTTGTTCAGAAGAGTCTGACATTGAACCATTTTAAAATAAAGAAAAAAGAGCTTTTATTATCTCTAAAATAGTAATTGATGACACTTTCTTATTATTGTGGCTCAAACCTATTGACAAATCCTACTCAAAGAAATAAGTTGTTACTTAAGCAAAACATGCGAGTTTCCAGTCTTTCTCAATTAACTGATAGATGGAGGGTTGAAGCTACCCTAGCAGGTTAATAGATCACTTCATCATAATATACATATCGTACGTCCTATGTTAAGTAAAGATTTTGAGACAATAAACTCAATTTTGTATTTCAAGTATCCAAATAAATTTTCTTTATATGAGATCTTTTATTTAATGACTAACATTATTGAATAATCATTAAGATAACATAAAACTATATTTTGATACTTACAATCATAACCAATCAATTAAGCTTATTTTTTATTTGAACTCTAATCATTCTCTATATCATAATTGGGCATACACTTTTTTTTTTTAATAATAATATTATATTTTGAATTGAATAAGATATAATTTAATCAAATAGGATAAGATTCTAAGAATATGTTTGGTACATTTTTGGAAAACATTTTTTAAAAATATTTAGATTATTTTTTAACCCCCTATATTTTAGCTAAAGACCCTGCAAAATAAAAGTTTATAAATTAAAAAAAACACTTTCACTCACCTAACTGATTACCGGTAGCTGGCTATTACTATCGGACAGTGGCTAAAAGTTATCGGAATGACGCATGATTGGTTGGATTTGACTGGTCATGCACCAATTTAGCCGTTTTTGGCCAAATCTACAGCCAAATAACGACCAAGATATGATCATTGTCAATAGCCAGATCTTTGGCTGTATATCTGACTGTTTTCGGCTAAATCCATGGTGAATATGACTAGAAACAGATAATCGGCTAGATCTGACTGATCGTGAGTCATTCTGGTGTTGACGTTGATTGTTGGCAAGCGACTGTTGCTTGAGTAGATGGAGGATTTTTTTTGTTAATTTATAAATTTTTATTAAAAAATATAATTGTTAAATATTTTGAATTGAATATAATATGATTGAATTTTGAATTAAATAATTAATATTAAAACAAATATATTTTTCATTTTTTAGGATAAAGTAGTAAAATAAAATAGGATAATACATTCCTATGTATCTAAATTCTTTTTCTACAAACATTAATATTTGATATGGACATGGGTTAGCTGACAAATCAAAACAAGACAGAGCAGGCGGTCCCCAAACTCCAACGTCTCTGACTTGTCAAAATTTGATTCGTTAAATTTTATACATGGTGCTGCTTCTGTTAGCCATTGATAAGGTAATTAATAATATTCCACAACTGATGGAGCCTGCGATAACATCAGTCAACTAGTGGAAATCGGATCAATTATACGTGGATAGAAATGCTTCACGTGGATAGAAATGCTTCCCTCGCGATAGTCGTACCGTATGTTCCAAGTCAAAATAATAATAATAATAATAATAAATAAATAAATAACTTGACGTCTGCTAGAAGATAAGAGTTCTTATAAACTCTATGCTTTACTTAGCTTATGTGTGTGCCTCCATTTCTATGTGATGATTTTTTATCAAAGAGAAGAAATGAAAGCTAATACATAAGAGAAAAATCAAGAGAATCAAAGTTTGAGAGAATTCGAATGAATTTTCGTTAATTGATAAAATGATTACAAGCTGTTTGTATACTTAGATTCCAGTAAATCCAAGGGAAAGATGAGGTGACGGGTGAGAAGAAGAAAGAGAAGAAGATGAAGTGCCATTTTGAAAATATATAATATAAGAAAAGAGATACGGAAAAAGAGAGAGTGGCAAAAAAGAAGGAGAAAAGAAGAAAGAAAAGACAAATTACATGTTGGAAATAAATATAATAAATATTATGATATCTTGACAGTCCATCTGTCAGACCGGTTGGACCGTTTAGATCGAAACCGGTCCATTACGAATCACCTTCGGTCCGTTTCGGAACATTCTTTGTAACCAAGAATTTTCCATAGCAGTTTTTTCCGTGAATAATTATGACCAAGTACGAACAAATGTGGAGTAAATTTATTTTCTTTTGAGTTGGGAGTCTTGAGTTCATTTTTGGATGGAGAGTTCGGACGTGATTGAGCGAGAGGGTCGCATGGTGTGGAGAAGACTATATTTGTTGCAGTGGGGAAGAAGTAAAGAGTAAACGATCAGAGCTTTTTGGAAGAAGATTTGCTTGCTTCATGTTCACAAGCCTGCTGTGTTGTTGCATGGGTGAATTGTCGTTTAATTCTCTGTCTGGTTTGCGAATTTTTAAGCATAGATGATGTGTA